AGTATTAACTCGTGATCGTTTTCCAGCTGGGGAATACAATAAGCTAAAGGAGCGGAAGATTGGACCTTGTGAAGTGCTGCAGAAGATTAATGATAATGCTTACAGATTGCGCCTCCCGAACCATTTGAAGACCTCTGACGTCTTCAACGTAAAACACCTAAACCCTTGTTTTATGGAGTTCGATGAAGTTACTGTGAACTCGAGGGCGAGTTCTTTCCAACCCGGGGCGACTGATGCAGGAGGATCCGAGTTAAGTGATGCTGATTTGTCAGATAGCACGATGATGGCGCTGAGATACCATGAGATGGCGGATCGGCGCAAAGATGGAAAGTGAATCACCATTATTTCCTTAATTGGGAGAATTTGACACGTCTTTGGTAATTTGGCCATAACTTTGGCTACGGTTATCGGAATCGCTATTATGACCCCAATTCAGAAAGCTCTCTTCGGCGCGCACGTCGTGGCCATCGAGCATGTGGACATCAATTTCGAGCCCAAAATCCACTGTTTTCCTTTCCAAAATTCAATTTTAAGTTATTTTTTACTATTTATGGTAATATTTCGTTTCCTTTTTTTCATATGTTAGAAAACTCGAATTGAGCCAAATTTTTGGCAACTTACTTCTTTTACTTAATATTTTATTTTGGTATAATTTTGGGATTTTGCCATTTTTGGTAATTTTCCCATAATTTCGTATTTCGCAGCTATTTAACCCGGCTTGTGTGTTAGTTTTCATCATTCTGCATTATTAATAATATTAAGTTGAATTCAGAGTATTTTTTCTGATTTTTTGGGCGTTTTCTGTCGTTCTTTTCTTGCGAATCATCTGCTCCAACAAGCCAATAGGATAATCACTATCTTACCCGGCGTCAGACCTGTATAAAACTGATATGTGACCTATATACAAGTATATGTGACATGTATAAAATTGATGTGACCAATCACAACTTTGTAATATTTGATATATTTGTACTATGAAACACAATAATTGACTTCGAAGCAATATAAAGTAAATACTCAAGCAATCCCATGAATGCAAACTATTTAAATTCCAAAATGAAAGATACGGAGTTATTACAAACCAGTATCCAAAAAGATTCCGGATTCCATCTATTACAACTTCAGAATTATATGCAGACTGCAATATACAATCACTCTATGATGATACTCTCTTTCCCAGATTGCTGCACTTCTTCGTTGCCTTTTTTATTTCCCGGTGTTTAAATAACAACAATGCTATATCCAAGCACGCTCTACCTGCTTCAAAATTCATGGACATAGAGCTTATATCGTTGTGTAGCATATACTCGGCATATTTAATCACGTAAATGCCACAGTGAAGTTTGGAAAAAAAAAAAACATCATGTCTGGTACAATATATTTCCATACCTGCATATTGGTCAGAAAAGAAGTAAAAATTGTCACATATGTATAGACAAATCACAACGGCATAATTGATTACACCACTAATTCAGAATTAAGACAAAAACAAAGCCCCTATTTACAGGTCACAAGCTCCAAAGATGCATATTAGTCACATAAGAAAGAACGAGGTTGGTCACATATGGATTGACAGGACACAAATATGAGTACATTCACTGCATCAATCACACAAAATAAAATTATGTAGTACAGAGGTCACAGCCTCTAAAGATGCATAATGGTTACAGAAGAAGTAAAGGATTTGGTCACTGATAGGTTGGCATGTCACGAACATGCTATTTAGGTCATTAGTAATAGTACTAATTCAATGGTCAAACATGCTATTTAGGTCATTAGTTTAAGAAATGTAAAATCAATCTACGCATCATATGAAAAATAAAGGCACTAGCAACCCAAATAAGAGTTTCCATAACTTTGAAACCCATCCATGAATTCCATTCAACAAACCTCCCACAAAATCCTATAGAAGCCTAAACTTCACCATATTAAATAATTTTTAACCAACAGATTAAAGCATTCAACTCAAAATCTCAAAAATTGAATAGAGCATATTTCACAAATTGGAGAAAACATAATCAAATACTTATCACCCATCAATTTTAGGGCTCGTACATATGATTCAATTGAATTACAAAACTGAACAAACGGAAATACCTTCTTCGCGGAAGATTTCGAGTCCGACCCCATGGATTTGGGCGTTTTAGATAGGGATACTTTATATGTTTCATCCACCTTTCTCTTACCTCTTCTATCTGAGGCATCTGCTACGTTCTTCTCTCGGTGTTCGCTCCTTGAACGAGTCATTTATGCTCTGGGTTTTGAGTTCTTCCCTTCACATAATGATAATATTTATAGATTAGTGGTTATGCAGTTTCTGGAATAATGTGGGTGTTGGTTATGGCTGGGATTTCACCGGAGGCGTAATGACGTCGACAAAAAGCTCCTTGCGGTCGTGGGTTTGTGAAGAAGAGACGTGGGGGAGGTTTTGAAATACAGGGAAGTTATAGAGTTTTCTAAAATTAAAAGGTTATGGAGTTTTCTAAAATTAAAAATCTTAAATCACGGGATATACATTTGTTAAAGTGTATATTAAAAATATAATATATTTAATATATCTAATTTTCAACTCTCTGATTTTTGAAAAGACAAACATCCCACCTGATTTAAGAATCCTAGATTTTAACTCTAGGGTATTCTGTAATTTCCACTAAACTGATTAAACCAAACCCAGTCAGACTGGTTTGAACCAAAAATATCAATTTAGTTTGATTAATTTTAACCATTAAAAAATCAAGTCGGGATGGTTGTGGTTTAAGCAACCAATCCATCAATTAACTGACTCAACTCATTAATACATTTTCTTATTTTTTATTTTAAAATTCATATTTTTAAACTTAAAAAGTAAAATAATAAAAGCATAAATATAATTCTTTCTCAAATAATTTGTTTATCGTCTACTTTTCTACCAAATTACAAATTTCTAAAGAAAACGAAAAGTAAGAAGAAGAATTGTTTATTGTAAACTCTAAGTTTAGATTGTAGACTTGCCTTTCAATTTGATGTAATTGTTTGTTGGTAACTATTGAATATATAGGAAGATTTTGGAAAAATTGACAATTTACCATTTAAATTGAAAGTTGTGCTAAGGTTAAGAGTATTTTGCCTGATTTTGGGTATAGGTTGATGGGATTGAATGTCATTAAAATAAAACAAGGAAAAAACTAGGCCAGCATGTTTTCTAAACTGATTATATGTAGAAGTAATTAAAACTGGATCCAATAGATCGATTTAATCGAAAGCAATAAATCAAAGTACGAGGTTGTACAATTAGACTCCGTTTAAGAAGAATTTATGAGTGATGATTTTTTAAATTGACCAGAATGACTAATTTATAAGTGGATAGTATTTTATGAGTTCAAAAAAATGTGTGACATAATTATAAAAAATGAATCGGAATATCGGATCGATTGATCCGACCTGAAAATCAACTAATCGGACAATAATCCGATCTGGGTAGTTTCCAATTGGATGGGTCGAAAACCACCTAAACCATTTCATAGCTACCCTAAACCCAAAGAGCATAACTTGAAATTGGAATTGGTTCAATATGAACCAGTTTTTATGAAATTGGTCTACTCTTTACAACAAATTTTTATATCAATTTTGCACGAGTAAAGATTCGAATTCGTGTCTCCTTGTATGAAATATCAGTTTTAGCATAATGACACAATGAAATATATATTATCTTTTTATTTTAAAATATTAAAAAATTAAAACTATGATCTAACAACGACATAACGATTGAATTATGGACCTACCGGTTGAATCATTGATTCAATGACTTGATGATTTTTTTCCGGATTGATGACTTGATCAAGTATGACAACAATGTTATGTGGTCGAAAATAAAATTTAACTATTTTAAATTTGTCAAATGAAGGCTTAGTTATTAAATTTACAAACAAATGAATTTGTCAAAGACCATTAGTTTATGAGAAAACCTAAAGACAAATTTGAATTGCAAAACAAGTTTTTTTTTAGATTTTCAAGCCTTTCCACCACATCGAGACCTTATTTATGAGAGATTTTTTATCATTATATCAAGAAATTATATTGTTGCTTTTTAGTGGCTTTCGTGTGATCGAGGCTATCTCAATGCAGTATTTTGACAGGCTTAATTTGTATGCATCAGTTGGCAATGACGCCGAAGAATATCAAATACATACTCTCAGCCATGTTTAAATACCGTACGATATTGTTGAACTTCCTATGGAGTCTTAGACTCTTCGTACACCAAGCAAAGGAAATTTATTTACAGGGGGAATTTCTCTGTACTTTTGCTAACCAGAATATTTTAAGTTATAACAAAAAAGAGTTTGAGGAAAAATGAATTTTTGGAAAGAGTAATACTATTCGTAGTCGCTCGCTGCGACAGTCGTTCTACGTGGCATACACATGGCAGATGATTATTTGATGCATTAATATGATAATTTTTTTTATTCATTAATGCATCAAATAATCACCTGTCATGTGTATGCCACGTAGGACGACTGCAAATAACATTATTCTTTTGGAAATTAGCCAAATATGGCCAAGTCTTCTATTAATAAGTGGAGAAAATGAACATGTCAAAATATGTTTAGAAATAAATTAAGGGCGTGTCTGGGGGGTGCTTCTCGTTAAATTGTAATGAGAATTTTGTCCGTTATTTATAGCATGTAGATCCCATGTTGACAGCAATTTTTAAAATTTTAAAAATGATATATCGAAAATACCCATCTAAAATTAAAAAAGAATTAAATGATAAGGGTAAAAATGTCATTTTATCAAAAAATGGTCAAACATTTCAACTGCATGTCTGACGTATTAATTAAAGCATGCAGCCCGGGTCGCACTTACCTCATCCAACGGTCAAAAAAGGCATTTGACAGGTAGCAAAAATTGCTACCAGACACGTAAAGTTGAACTTAGCAGTTTGTCACGCGCGAATAATGCAAGTGGCAACCAAATTACAATAAACTAAAACGAAAACAACCAAAATCAAGCATCCACGTGAAATTCTCCGCCACCAACGTCAATCGCCATCCAAGCAGGACTCCCCTACGATTCCACTGTAGTTGCTCTCGCTTTAACTCACTCAAATATATACCACCATCATATATGTTCACACTCAGAGTGTCTTGAATTTATAGTTCGCAACGGGATCGGATTTATCGGGTGAAGATTTCGCATAGTTTTTTCCAAGAAATGGAGGTCAGAGCCCGAGCACCCGGGAAAATTATACTCGCAGGTGAACATGCAGTTGTCCACGGATCCACTGCTGTGGCTGCCTCAATCGATCTCTACACTTACGTCACTCTTGGGTTCCCCACGCCTTCTGGTAACTACCTCAGTTCTGAATTTCTCAGCTCCACTGTTAATTTTGATTTTCAAGTTCTGCGATTCGTTTTGGACTATGATAGTTTGAATATTTTATGTTCAATTTTCTATTTTCTTTATGAGTTATAGCAATTGGGTTTTTTGTGGATACATTTTTGCGTCTCGTTGATTCTGATTAATTTAAGTACTTTATCCGGAATTTTGTATTCCCCTTTATGGATTCTTGCAATTGGGTTTGGTGTGGATACATTTTTTGTTTTCGTATTTGATTCTGATTATTTTATCTGCAATTTTTTCTAGAAATATTTTTGCTATTAGTATTTGATACTCATTAATTATACTGCAATTTCTCTTGGAGTAATCTCTTACCTTATGCATTATGTTGATACATTTCTGCGATTCGTAGTTGATTCTGATTAATTGGAATAATTGCAATTAAAATAAATGAAATGTGTTGGTAACTCCCTGAACTTCACAAAATTTTCCAAATCTATAGTTTACAAATAAAATCGTCTTTGTTTGGGAAGTGTTTATAAACTGTTTATGTATGAGTGATGGATAACTGGATAATACTTGTATATCCCACAAAATGTATGGATAAAAAGTGTTTTGGTCAATTATAAACAGTTTATAAACATTAGCCAAATATGGTCTTTGTGTATATTATACTAACAAAGTAAAGGAAATAATGTGAAGACGTTATTCTCGTTGAATCTTTATGAAACTGAAACTTTATAAAACTTCATGAATTACCAAGATCTCTATGTCAAATCATCAAGAAAATCAGTTAATGTGGTACATACCTTGATCCATGACTTTGAATCGTGAATCTTTAGTCTTAAAGATCAACTTTCAATCCCCTCTTGATTTATCTTCTTGTTTTCAATCTTGATTGTCTTGTTCTTCAATTTAATTACTTTAATCCTTTTTTTTTATTCTTAAATTATTCTTGATTGTTAATCTTGATCGTGGGTTTTTGATCTTCTTCAATATGTTTTCTCTTGTATTATTGTGTTGATGAGATGATATAAAGAATAAGAATGCCAAATAAATTGAGGATCGTAACCCTATATATAAGTATTTCGCCCATTGTGAAATACAACTCTAATGGATCCCGTCTATACATATATTTAGGCCCATGCTTTATTTAGATGCTCAAAGCCCGTTGACTTTTAACTCTTTATTAGATCACTTTAAATGGACTTAACTTTAAGATAACTTTTATACACAATTATTTACATATATAGGCCCACATGACAAATAAATACCTAACGAGTCTTGTTCAGTAAAGCTGCGAGTTAATAATGATCCTTAGCTCTTGGCTCAGCTCGTCTATTAATTTGCATCTGTAATCTAAGCTCCTCAGAGGGAAGAAGGGTAAGTTACAACAAAGTTAATAACATTTGAATCCCGACGTTGGTTTGTTATAGTCACAGTTGACCATTTGGAAAGGTCGTGTCAAAATACAAAAGGTAGCTCAGTGGTCGGGCCTTGGGTTTGCTTCCCAATAGTCACCAGTTCGAATCTCTTCAGGGCCATTGAGGTGAGTACCTGACTGTAAACTTCAAAGTCTCGTGGGATTAGTCGAGGTGCGCGTAAGTTGGTCTGGATACCCATGGTAAAAAAAAAAAAAAAAAAAAAAAAAGAACTCAAAAGGACATTTTTAGTGAGTACTATCATTAAAATGGTTTTAAAGTTGTAATTGATGCCTTTATAATGCACTGAGGCGTGAGCATATATTTTGGGTGGTAGAAATTGTATGCTTTACAATGAGCTTTTTCCCCTGCAATTTGTTGATTATGTTCGGTTGCCGACTTAAAGGACACGTTTGGCATGCATTTAGATTGGAATTTAGAAAAAATCAATTTTGTGAATCTCTTCACAATCCTCTTATTACACCAATTATAATGCAGGAAAATGACTTCATGAGCAATTGGAATTCAAATGGAAATATCTGGAGGATTGAGTCTACTACTTGATCAATTTATATTGAATTGTTTGTTTGCCAGTCGGACCAATGTATACTAAATCCCCTCGTTTCATAACTAATTCTTTTTTTTTTTCCTTCTATGTTAGATAACGATTTAGATAATAAAATATAATATAGTTCTTGATGTGAATAATATTGACTGGTTGACATGGGTTGTCATGCATTTTCATCATACTTGATTTTTTTTAATATGTTGAGCTTTTCCAATATGATGGCTCTGATTTCTTCCTCCCACTTTCGGGTATTCTTTTGGCGATCAGACAATGATGATACATTAAAACTTCATCTCAAGGATATGGACTTAGAATTTTCTTGGCCAGTTGGAAGAATTAAAGAAGTTCTCCCTGATTTGGGTAGCCATGCTGCTTCCTCTCCCTCATCATGTTCATCAGAGACCATCAAAGCAATTACTGCTCTAGTTGAAGAACAGAACATTCCCGAAGCAAAAATTGGACTTTCTTCGGGTGTTACAACTTTTCTGTGGCTATACACGTCCATTCATGGGTGTGTAATTTGAATTTCGTCCATGGGTTTGTATGCATAGAACCGTTTCAACTTCTGATATGTTTATTTTTTACTTTATCAGATATAAACCTGCTAAAACAGTGGTCACTTCTGAGCTGCCACTGGGCTCTGGCTTGGGTTCATCTGCTGCCTTATGTGTTGCATTTTCAGCTGCTCTACTTGCTCTATCTGATTTCGTCACACTTGATTTTAGCCATCAGGGATGGCAAATGTTTGGAGATAGTGAGCTGGATCTAGTAAATAAATGGGCCTTTGAAGGTGAAAAAATAATCCATGGAAAGCCATCTGGGATAGACAACACAGTGAGCACGTATGGTATGTAATCCAATTAAATATCTTCTTGTTTTTTAGCTTAGAGATACATAGTGCTCGGCGAAGTTTCAGTTGTTAAAACTAATGAAGTTTATGTAACAGGCAACATGATCAAATTTAGGTCTGGTGAATTGACACGCATCAAGACAAATATGCCACTTAAAATGCTCATAACTAACACAAAAGTTGGGAGAAACACGAAAGCGCTGGTAGCTAGTGTTTCTGAAAGGACAATAAGGCATCCTGAAGCTATGGCTTCTGTATTTTCTGCAATTGATTCCATCAGCAGTGAGTTAGCTTCCATTATTCAGTCACCGGTTACAGGCGATCTTGCCATAACTGAGAAAGAGGAAAAATTAGAAGAACTGATGGAGATGAATCAGGGGTTGCTCCAGTGCATGGGGGTCAGCCATGCATCTATAGAAACCGTGCTTCGATCAACATTGAAATACAAGCTGTCGTCCAAATTAACAGGAGCAGGTGGTGGAGGCTGCGTTTTGACACTTCTACCAAGCTGTATCCTTTTAGTTATTCTACATAGAATTAAACTAGCTGTACAGATTATTTTAAAGGGTTTTTTACATATGTACAGGTGGCAACGCTACATTGGCTGGTTGAACCGTGTTTTTTATCCAACATCCAATTAGCAGAATTGATTCTGCTTATTTTCTTCGATCGCGTACTGTTTTATTCTCACTTTTCTCTTTTGCTGCTTAAATTACTTCAAACACAAGTTTATTCTTGACTGCAAGACTCAGTACTATCAGGAACAATTGTTGACAAAGTAATCGCAGAGTTAGAATCGTGCGGGTTCCAATGTTTGATTGCGGGCATTGGTGGAAGAGGCATGGAGATTAGCTTCAGTGGTTCTTCCTAAACTTAGTCCAGAGTTTTAACCGTAAGATTTGTCACCATATTTGAGAATAATCATACGTGGAAATGTATGCTACTTCTGCCCTCTTCTGTTAATTAGAAATGTATTCCTAGTTTTTGCAATGCACGTACGACATTTGGAATAATTTTGCATTTTGTCATAAAGTAATTATTTATATTATGGTCTCTGTAGGCATATTTGGTACCCCTCGAATAATTTTTTTGTCAATACACTGTTTCATTGTTGTATCAATTTCTCTAAGATACTTCAAGAAAGTGATTGATGTTGGTAACACTGACTAGAAACGACTTCATGGGATTTGTTAAATCATTTATAAATTCTTACCAAATGGGACGCTATGTTACTAAAGCTTTTTTTTTTTGTTTCAATAGCTACTCAACTTCGAATCGTGCTACTCGTTAGTCTTTCATTTGAATTCCATTTCAAAAAGTTAAGAGACACGTCCATGCGACACGTGGAATTTCTACAGTCAAATAATGCCATCCCGGCCAAGTCTTGTTATGTTTAGCCCAAGTCGAATGTAAAACACATTTTTGCAAAATAAAATGACAGATTTTCTAATATATAAAAATGGTCCATACACCAATTTTTTTCACACCCAATCGAAATCATGCCCTTTGGGTCCTTACACCAGTTCTTTTACTTGCCGAGTAAAAATGTTTACTTATAACATGTATTTGGAAACAAGACTGACTTAAAAAAAGTTTCATTTACTTTCTCAAGTGTTCTTTTCAGAACAGTTTGGCAAGCTTGACCGGGGGACTGGTAAGAGAGGAATGATCCTCAGTGCAGAGGATTGCAAGGAAAGGAAGATCATCCTTGACACTCTTTTACTTGTTTTCTCATTTATACAAAACACAGAGAAACAACACTCTAAACTTTGTCGAGACTCGAGATACCCCTAGGCCATAGGTAAAAATGACACATACGTAGTCATATGTAGTTGTGTTCTTACCCGTTGAAGTTGAGAGATTTTGGACATTCTGAATTGCGCATAATTGGAATCCCATACCCAGTAATTCATTTCTATTGAAGTTTGTAGTTTCACTCAGATTTTGGTCTGATCTCAATCCCTTGAATAATAAGACCATTCTTCCAGTTTCCACCCTCTGTCTCTGTCAAACTGATTTCCATATCCAAATCTTGTTCTTGGCCGACGAAAAACTCTCCCAACTCAACTTCCATCCACTTATCTGCTCTAACCTTCGGGTACTCGGTAACGCGCCCTGAGGACAAATCGCCTTGCCGTCGAGATATATGAGCCATTCTGTGATTATAAAATATTCGCCTAGGTACAAGCTGGTACCCGTGCTTTCGTTCTCCCTCTGGATCTAAACACACAGTTCGTTTTACACCATCCTGCCCACTAATTCCTACCATAGCTTCAGCAGGTTGGTAATCAAAACCGCATGTTCCTGATTTTGAAGTGAACACAAGGTAAGCTGTATATGTAGTTCCCGAAGACAGCATACTCGTGTTTATGTTGCCACGAATTTCAAACCAACACACATTAAGAAGCTCTGCCACCTCGAGAAATCTGAATCAAATGTGCAATGAACCATCAGTATTCGAAATAATTAATAGAAAGAAAAGATACTACTTGTGCTTATGCAGGAGAAGTGTAGTACCTGGACTCGGGAAGAGAGATCCATTGCCAATATTCAGGTGTATCACCCCACACAATGAAGAGATCCCTTGCAGCCACCATAAAGCACTTCTTTCCTGTTCCTTTCTCCAATGAAAAGCTCTGCAATAACAAAGAAGCATTAGGATGCATCCCCAACTAGAATAAATGAAGTCATGGGCATGATAAATTTCCGGAATATCTAAATGTAAAGACACAAGTGACGACTCTAAGCAAGATGTCAGTCGAGAGACACCATCACAAGTGACAACTATAAACAAGCCATCAATTTATTTTTACCTTGGTTGAACACTGGGCATTAGAGTTTAAAGGCGCGGAACTATTTCTTGTTGTAAAACATAAATTCGGGTAGATGACAATGATCTCGAAGTTATAACGCAACATGTTTAATAGTAAGGACACTACTAAACTTTATTATCCTAATACATGAAAATTAAAATACAAAGTCACCTGAGTCATTTAATTGAACTTATAAAATATAGCCACCTAACTTGATGCTCTCCCATCACCATCGCTACACAGCATTGTTCTATTTATATTCTTTTCCATTATGATGTAAAATTCGTTCAAGCAACGGATATTTCTTGGAATATGTATAGTTACTCTACCCATTTCGCAAAGAATTACATTAAAGAGCAAAGAAATGCCCAGATAACATCAACTGGTACAATCTGATTGGTATTTATTTGTTCTTTCAGTTTACATTTCGATTTACCTCGACCAGACGCTGATTGTTATTTAATAAAAGGCACCTTGATACAAATTCTATCAAAACATGAAACAGTAAATGCATGTTTATTTTTCTAAATTTCATTTATTAGTTTTGACAATAACGATCAAATCTACAACAAACTCACCTGTTGTAAAACAAGTTTATAATTTTATTTAATCTTCAAATTAAAAATAATCCGCATATTCCCAAAAATTAATCCAGGTCATTTTGCTTGATGGCATTTAACAAAATACACGGAAATTACTAATAATTCTATTGTAAAATCCAAAGTTATCAAAGTTCATTGGAATATACATTACCTTGATGCCACCGTCGATGATGATCGGGTTGTCGCAGAGGTGGAAATAAAGCTCTTTCTTGGAGCGAAATTTAGCTAGAAACAAATCACCATCGTCAATTAAGCGTAAAATGATGTCACGATAATCAGGCGGTAAAAACCGCTCCCAAACGGCATCGGATTCTGCAGCTGACCGGAATGTCGTAGACACCAATGAGAGGCGGCAGGCGTCCTTGGGGGTGGTCAGCGACAGCGCGGTGGCTATAAAACCCTCTGGCAGCTCTTGAAAATCACTGTAGGTCTCAACTGACATCGTCTTTCACTCTCTATGAGATAATGGATTTAGAGATGCATGGATGGATAGATGGATATTTATAGAGGCGCCGCTAGTTGAAAGGTCCTCTCTACTGTCTACTGTCTTCCAGTCAAATCTTTTAATAAATAAAAATAATCGGGCAATTAGCACAAAACATCCCTACCTTTCGATGTTTTTATGAAAAACGTCCCTACCTTTCATTTTTTGGTGGATTACACCCTTACTTTTACATTTTTTTGCCCAAAACGTCCTTCTGTCAACTCTCCGTTAAAATGCTCCGTTAAATCAAAAAGGTAATTAGCACAAAAGGTCCCTACCTTTCAAAGTTATTGTGCAAAACGTCCCTATCTTTTATTTTTTAGCATAATTAGCAGAAAAGGTCCCTACCTTTCAATATTATTGTGCAAAACGTCCCTACCTTTCATTTTTAGCATTTTCACCACTACCTTTCACCTTTCATTGCAAAAAAGGTCATTCTCATCCATTTTTTCAATAAAATGACGATTTTATCCTCCTATTCAAATAAAACAAAAAGAAAAGATGAATTACCAACTGCAACCATAATCCTTAAATTTTTAAAAAATTACAAAAAATCATAAATTCTCAACCACCACCATTTTCACAACCTATCAAGCTGCCAACTATAAATCCACATAATACCACCTTTCGGCCACCATGCCCACCGGACTCCACCACTGTAAATGTGGTTGTTTCAGACAGATTGGTGACCAGTACTATGGAGGAGGATATTGGGGAGAGTGAAGCGACGCTGGTGGTGGTGGAGTCCTGTGTGTTGTGGTCGAAAAGTGGTACTATATGGATCTATAGGTGGTGGATTGGTGGGATTGTGAAAGTGGCAGTAGTGGAGAATTTAGGATTTATCTGTAATATTTTGAAAGATTTAGAACTATGATTGCAATTAATTAATTATTTTTTTCTTTTCTTTTTGTTTTATTTCAATAGGAGGGTAAAATCGTTATTTTATTGAAAAAATGGATGAAAAGGTCCTTTTGCGCAATGAAAGGTGAAATGTAGGGGTAAAAATGCTAAAAATGAAAGGTATGGACGTTTTGCACAATAATATTGAAAAGTATGGACCTTTTATGCTAATTATGCTAAAAAATAAAAGGTATGGACGTTTTGCACAATAACTTTGAAAGGTAGAGACCTTTTATGCTAATTACCTTTTTGATTTAACGGAGCATTTTAACGGAGAGTTGACAGAAGGACGTTTTGCGCAAAAAAATGTAAAGGTAAGGGTGTAATCCACCAAAAAATGAAAGGTAGGGACGTTTTCCACAAAAAACATCAAAAGGTAGGGATGTTTTGTGCTAATTACCCAAAATAATCTATTTTATAGAATTTATAATTTTTATAACTTACTTAACAATATTTTTCATAACTTTATCGAAATTTATTAAAACTTTTATCAAAAACTTTGTTATTAAATTTTTTTTAATCAAAACCTTTCTTAGGAGAACCTTAATTCTTCAAATTCATGTATAGTCTTTTAATGGTATATTCAATGAAAACGTCTTAATTTAGACTTTTAAAGAGTTTTATAAATTTAAAAAAATTAAACCAAGATTTCTTGGCAGTGCTTCAAAATGTGTAAAGATTTGATAGATGTAGAAGTCAAACTTCAAGTTTTATTGTGAGCTCAGACAAGGCCTAGACGTAAAAAATGATTAGTAATTATTATTGTTGTTGTTGTTGTTATAATTTTAAGTACTTAATCATTCAAGAAATTGTTTAATAATTAAATTTATATTCAACAAACATATAAAATTATAAAATACTATATTTATTTAATAATTCTTACAATTCTGCAATTATACAATTTTCAAATTTTTAAAATGTAAAATCTAGATTATTTTTTATAGTTTCAACTTTCAACTAAAGAAATCTTATATAACGGAAATACGGAATTATAGGAATTCCATACTTTACTTAACGGTAATACGAAATTATAGGAATTCCATACTTTCGAAGTTTTTAACAATACGATACATCTCAAATCATAATTATATAATATAGACTATTTCTGGAAAAAAAAACTCGAAAAATGGACCAAAACAATCAAATCGAACCGACTCAGGTCGGTTTGATACAAACAATTGGTATAGTTTGATTTTTTTTTAAATAAAACTATAATGGATAGGTTCAATCATGATTTGAAACCTCAAATCACTTATTAATCGAACCAATTTAATATACTTACATGTTTACCTTTTTTTGAAGAAAAATAAAAATCAAAAGATAAGTCATAATCTCATAACTATATTTCGATTCCCTCCAATCTATGATGTTGCCTATAAGAAATTAGGCTTGGCAGAAAAATAAAAAAATTGACCAAACCAATTAAACCGAACGGGTCGATTAAACACAGGTAATTAGTTTGGTTTGGTTTTCTTTCAAACGAAATCATGATAGGTCGGTTCATTCATGGTATGAAGTTTCAAACCATTGGTTAACAGAACCAACCCAACCTAATTCATTAACATTTTTTCCTTTTTTTTTTTTTTTAATTTAAGAAAAATAAAAATCAAAAGATAAGCTATAAACTCATAACTATATCTCGATTTCCTCCAATCTATGATGTTGTCGGTAAGTAATAGCACTGAAAATTTACTTTCACAAGCTCATTATGTTATACTTAGTATTTTTCCTTATTCAGGCCGTCAAACTACATATTACATAAAAAAGCAACAAAATTTTTAAGTTTTCTTTTGATCCGTCTCTATTAACTTGATTTTAATTTTTAGTCAATAGTTTTTGTAATATAAAATTAGTTGATTATTTTAGTTATTGCAATCTAAGTGGGCCTAAAACTCGAACAATTTTTTTTTTTTAAATTAACTTTGAACTATAAGTCCAAACCGACTAATCAAATTGAGCCAAACCGTTTGGTTTGGTTTAAGAGTTAGAGTGAGTTGGTTTGAATTGAAATAAGCCCAAGTTGACTAATTTGGTTTTGGTTTCAAGTTGAAGTTAAAACCGACTCAAATCAAATCGCTCTCGAATTTATAAGTAATAACACTGAAAATTTCTTTTCACAAGCTCATTGTGTTAAACTTAGTCATTTTTGTCTACTTAGACAGTCATGCTATATAATACGTAAAAAAGCAATAAACTTCTTAAATTTTCTGTTAATCCGTCTTTATTGATTTAATTTTATTTGTTAGTCAATAGTTCTTGTAATATAAAATTATTTAGGTATTTTAGTTCTTGTAATTTAAGTGGGCCCAAGACTCGATAATTTTTTTTTTAAAAATTCAATTTGGATTAAATGTCCAAACCGACTAACCGAGCCAAACCAATTTGGTGTGTTTCGATTCGGTTTAACAAGTCAAGTGGGTTGGTTTGAGTTAAAATTCACCCAAATCGACTAAATTGATTTTGATTTTGATTTTGATTTTGAGGTGGAGTCGAAACCGATCCAAACCAAATTGCGTCCAGGGTAGCAGCATAACTTAAATCTTATTTAAATTTTTATCGGATAAAGTCATTTTTTAATTTTGTATAGGGAAGTCATTTAAAAACTTGAAACTAAAATCAAATCAAGGTCTTTTCAAAAAAAAAAATAAAAAGGTTAATAAACAAAAGTTAAATAAAAAGGAAAATAATAATAAGCGCTTACTGTCAAGGTTAAGAGTTTGCTTGTGCCGTCTAGACGTACTTTTTAAAACACTGGTTCTTAGAGCATCTTCAATCGTGATTTAAAATAGATCTAAATTGTGATTTAGATCTTCCAAATAATCAAAAATCTCTCCAATGGAGAGAAGCAGAAAATGTAAAAATATTCACAAGAGGCAAAAAAAATGAATATTTCCATCAAAACAAAATTTGAATTTAAATCCATCGAGATGTAAATAATGATGCAAAAGTGATTTTGAAAATATCAATTTAAACCTAATTTCACACCACCACAATAGATGCTATTAAAAGTGGTAAAAACTAAAATGTCACATGTATCAAAACGTTAATGACTTTATAAAATTCTTCGTAAGCAAATTTTTAAACTAAAAATACAAATACAAAATTTCATAAAAAGTCTCACATTTACCACCAAAATTTTGAAACTTTCACCCAAAAAAAAATAAATAAATAAATAAATAAATCTATTAATCTGTAATATTTTCAAAATAAAAATGTCTTATAATGAAATATTTCTTTTTTCAAGTATATCTCGTTTAATTTAATTCAGTGAATCCTAAAGTTATGATATAAAAATCAATATTTCTCTCTCTCTCTTCGACCTACTATTTTTATATTCTTATTTCCTTTTTTTCCCTTCCCTTCTTTCTCATTATTTTCTCCTTCTAACTATGGAAAAAGATCAATTAGTAAAAAAACTTTCTTTAATAAAATTTCTCTCTCGATTTCATCGTTCCCTTCAATTCTTTCGTGGAAAAAAAAAAAAAAAAGATCAAATTTTAACTAAATTTTTATATATTGGAAGCTTATTGAATTTAATATCTTTCTACAAGTTTGACACATTGAAAAGTATAGATTCTTTTTTTAATCAAATAGTAATGAACATTATACATTTTTTTGTATTTTGGTTGTTCTTTTTATAATTGAGGTGACTTCAATATTTATTAATTTCTTTTAAAAATATTTTTGTTGACACAAGAAATATAATTTTGTTACTATGTTCTAGATCATTTGGTTGTTCAAGTAACGGTTAAAAACTTTATTACATTTTAGTGTATAAATAATTCAATAAAATAAGGATGTGAAAAGTACCTTACTACCTGTATATCAAGGTTTACATGAGGGATTACATAATGTCATATGACACTATATCATTTATCAATTTAAAATACAATTAATTTTTTCATCCAATATTTGCTCTCTAGATCATTTTCCGTAATGACTTATATACCAATTTTAGTCCCCAGGGCACATCTCCAAGTGGTAAAAGGGGAGGGTGGAGAAATCCAGTTTTGCTTGAGGCTGCTGCGTCAAGGTTCGAATCCTGAAATATGGATTTGACTCTTGAGTAAGTGCAAGTGTACAAGCAGCCTTCCA